ATGAAGATGTGATTATTAATGGTCATTCTCATGAAGATGACAATCCATTTGCAGAGTACATGTGGATGGAAAATGAAGAGGAATTCAACAGACAAGTTAGTTTTGTGTACAAACATGATCTTTCTCATAGCCCATTACAGCCCTCAATATAATTGTACTTGTCCCTGTAATGTGTTTTTCATCTGGTCCCTTATATTAGTGAAATATAGGAATTTATATGCTACCACTCCTATTTTACTTGTATGCTGAGTACTACCAGGTTTATCTGCTCACTGAAATAACTTAGGGAAATTTGCAGGGTCCCACCCCAGATAGTCTTATCCAGGAGGACTAGGGTGGAGCCTGGAAAACTTGTTTTTTAAAAGCTCCCAGATCAGGGGCGCCTGCCTGGTTTAGTTGTATGTGACTCTTGATCTCAGGTTTGTGAGTTCAAGCTGCATGTTGGGTGTAGAGATTAATTAAAAATAAAACCGTAAAAAAAAAAAAATCTCCCAGATGGGGTTCCAGTGTGCAGTTAGGTTTGGGAACTACTGCTTGCATCAATCACATTGCACTTAAGAGAATATAAATTAGGAGCAGACAGGCATGGGTATTAGGATACAGAATTGTGCTGTTTTTTCACCTGAGGTTCTTAATTTGATAAGCCTGAAAACCTGACACCAGTGTTATCCTTAGAGAATGTTCATACATTGATGAATGTTGTCTTTTATTCCCATATTTCTGACATCTGTTTCCATCTTGTGTCTAGTTCCTCCCTGATCATGGCTTTGGTAATCAGTAGCCAGCTTGATTTCACCATATCCAGTGATGGATAGTCAAGAGTAAAAAAGTGTAGTCTTATTTCAGTGAGAATCATTTGGGCTCTTTTTGGTTTGTTTTTAATTAATCATGCCCCAACCCTACCCTCTACAGAATTTTAATCATTTTTGGGTGGGTTTAGGGTTTGTGTAGTTTTAAAATATCACAGGTAATTCTGACAAATTCCTCAATGAAAATATTCCTTTATTTATTACTTCCCCACCACCCTCAGTGGAAAAAAGAATATTCTGCTAAGACAAAGACCACAAAACCCTAAACAGATATTCCCTAGTCTTACGGTAAACGTTTCTTTTTCTTGGCAGAGAAGCAGAGGAGGTTACAATATTGTGGTTTTAAGTGCTTTAATACAAGATATTTTAAGCCGTTCCTAGTGATGTCTTACCAAATGTGCTATAAATTATGCTTTATATATTATAAATCCAGATAGAAGAGGAGTTATGGGAAGAAGAATTTATTGAACGCTGCTTCCAAGAAATGCTGGAGGAAGAAGAAGAACATGAGTGGTTTATTCCAGCTCG